GCTGTCTTCTCTGCAGACAGGAAAGGAAGCTGGGCGGGGGCGGCTTAAATGGCTCCACACCCCTCACCAGGCGGCTGCCCTCCCAGGACGGCCGGCACAGGGCACAGGGGGATTTCCTGGTGCTTTGCAGCCATGGCAGGACCACCTTGCCAGGCACCTCTTGGCACCACCTACCCCTAGGATAGCGGCCTCCCCCCATCTCAAGCTCTTTTCCAGGAGGGGTACAGTGGCCCTGCCCATAGCCAGTGCCACCCAAGAGGATCTGGCCTCCAGCTGGCATTCCTGCCCCTTCCCCCAACTCCTGTTTCTTTGTGCTCAGATGTAGCTGTGTGAAGGCCCCGAGTCTGAGCCCCAGCACTGGGGTGGAATTGAATGTGTTTGAGGCCAGCTCTGCCGTTCATGTGCTATTTGACCTTGGGCAAGTCACTTGACCTCTCTGTGCTCCTGCCTCCTGTGTACAATATGGAGGATGCTGGTTGGTTCCGCCGCCTCCGAGTGCCTGTGAGCAGCTGGCGAAAGATGTAAAGAGCGCTCTGAACCCAGCTGGGTGCACAGCCAGTGCCGTGAAGGCCTCAGGTGTGGTCATGGCCCCAGGTGATCATCGCGATTGCTTCTCCGCCACGCAGCAGGAGGCACAAGGGCCTCCAGGGTTCCTGCCTCTGGATTCCTTGGGTTGGCAGAGTGAGGGAGGCTGCAATCCTGGGGTTTTAAGCATCCAGGCATATGCTGCAGGGTGGCTGTGCCGTAGTTCGTTCAACTGGCCGGGTGGGCCATCCAGGCCCCGCCTTCCCGACAGCCGCTGCGTGGTGCACAGCACTCAGGGCGTCCGGGGCGCCTGCACTTCCTTAGCTCGCCAGAGAGGGCGCCGTCTAGTGTTTAACTTCACCTTGGCCCAGAGGGACAGGGTCCTTCCTGGGTTTTCATGACATTTGTCTTATTATGAGCGAAGTGGCCTTTTTACATTTGCAAAAAGTGTGTGTAGGGTACGTCCCTTCCCCTTCTGTGGCTGTCTTGAGCGCTGTCCACCTATCTTTTGGGCTGTGGTTATTATTGCCAGGTTTGCTCTTCTTAACTGTTTTTAGGTGTGTTGTTTTTGGGGTGCTGAGATCCGAACCCAGGGTCTCTGCTAGCTTTCCTGGAGCTTTACCTGTCGCCAAGAGATGCACTTTTGACCTGGACAGCGAGTTGCAGGTACTTTCCTACCGGCACTGGCCGTTGGTTACCGAGTTCACTTTCTGTACTTTGTTTTTGCCACTTATGGTTGTGCGGCAGGCCTTAGCGGCAACTCATGCTGTGACTTTTGTTGTTATTCTTCTTTGGCAGGGCGGGGTTTGAGCGCAGAGCTTCCCACGTGGGGGCAAGTGTTGTACCCCTGAGCTGCACCCCGGCCCTGGCTTGTGGCCTTCAGATCCCCGGGCAGAGTTCAGTCTTTGCCACTGTGAGATTATAAAATACTTTCCTGTGGTTTCTTCCTGTACTTTAAAAAAATGTTTATTCAGTAAAGAGTATTGCTATGCAGCTTGGACTCGTAGTGACCCTCCTGTCTCAGCCTCCCCAGGGCTGGGATTCAGGGCCTACATAGCATGAGGTGCCAGGGATCGAACCTGGGTCCTTGCACTCGCCAGGCAGGTGCTTAGACTGCTGAGCTCTCTCCCCGGCCCTCTTCCTGTACTTTTATAGTTTGATTTTACATTTAAGCCTTTTACCTCCTCGGCATCCCCCCCGGGGCTCCATGTGGGTGTGCACCCCCAGACATAACCAGGACCTCGCTTCCTCCGCTTTACCTGGATGTGCCAAGCGACGGGCCAGCATGTGCCGAGCGATGGGCCGGGATGTGCCGAGCGACGGGCCAGCATGTGCCCTTCATTCCGTGAGAACATTTTGTCCCGCCCAGCTCAGCCTTCTTGTGGAAATGACCACATCAGGCTGGGAAGAGAGGATGCCGCGAGAGGGAAGTGGACGCACCCTTTGGTCCAGTGATTTTCTCCTGAAGTCTCCCCTGAAGGAGCCCTCTGTGTGCTTGGGGATGCTGCAAGGAGGGCCAGGGAGACGAGGTGATGGCTTGCGGGAGGAGCGAGGCCGCTGGCAGTTGGCACCTGGGTGGGTGTGGGAGGCAGGGAGCGGGGTCGTGCTGATTCATTATTCCAGGACGGGCGGCAGCGTTTGTGGTCTCGCTTTGGCTCTTTCTCCTCCCCCACCTCAAGTTCACATCGTGACAGAGCGCAGGACCACATGAAGCAGCGCCCGAAGCCTCGGGGTTCCCAGCAGCTCATTACCTGCACCTAGGGGGGGGGATTGTGGATGGGGGTTCCGGGGCCCAGGAGCCGCCTGCAGGAGCCCGAAGGTCTTGGTTCAGCCCAGGGCGCTTTCTGCCTTGGGTTCGGAAATGCCTCCTCGGTCTCCTGCCCTGAGCTGGCTTTCGTCAGCCTCTTCTAATGACAGTGGATGCCATAGCCTGTTTCCAGCAGGGATGCTGGTACAATGGATACCTGCCACCTGTGTCTCACCACGCCCTGCTCCCAGGGGACCTGGTGCCTTCAGCTGCCCACAGCCCTGGGCACTGCCCACTCTCCCGGGGTTTCACAGCAGCCACCACCCTTCTCCTCTTCCTTGGGACTCTGATTCTCTGGAGGCCCCAGAACACTGCCATCTGGTGTGGGGGAAGCAGGGTGGTGACCATCTACTGTCACCATAGCCACAGAAAGCAATTAGGGCATCTGGCTCCAGGCAGCGTGGACACCACGCCCTCCAGGGCTCCTGGTCTGTTTCTTCAGCAGCATGGGAAAAGGGGACGGTGACGGTTATAGTGACAGTTATGGACTCAGAGCCCAGGGTGTAATTAAAAGGCAGATTTTAAGACTCCACATTGACCTAGCGCTTTGATTGCTCTGGGGTGGCCTGAGTGGGTACTTCAGTGGCAGAGATGTGTCCAGGCCCCACAGCCTGGTCTGAAGCCTGGTGGGTGAGACCTGGCCCTGCCCCTTGCAGAGGCGCCTTCACTGTCACTCTCTGGCCCATCTTGGCCATGCCCCAGCTCTGACCTCTGCACGTCCGCATCTCCCAGGTCGTTTGCGAAGCCCCCGAAGCAGGTGCAGACAGTGTGCGAGTGCATTCTTATCATAAAGGGCTACCGCGAGCTCAACTGGAAGACAGCCAAGGGCATGATGTCTGACCCCAACTTCCTGCGCTCCCTGATGGAGCTTGATTTCGACTCCATCACCCAGAGCCAAGTCAAAAATATCAAGGGTGCGTGTGGGCAGACATGGGGAGAGTCAGCCTACGGGACGGGGCTGGGGCCAGGCAGAGCCTGCCACGGCAAAAAGGTGGTATTGCTGTGGCCCTGCAGAAGACGGAACGAGTGGACTGTCCCCAGATGAAAATGGTACGACCACACCACGTGACTGGCTCAGCAGCAGTGCTGGCTCCTTCATCGGGGAGCAGGGTCTTCCTGCCCTGACCTGCCTGGCCCTGTCCTCCGTGTCTTAGCCGGGTGGCATCAGTAGTTTGGCTGTCAGGACAAAGCCTCCAAGGCCCCAGGGGACAGGCCCGATGGGACAGCATCACCCACTGCCAGCTCTGTGCCTTTATTTATTTATTTTTTTGAGGAACCAGGGATTGAACTCAGGCCCTTGCGCTTGCCATGCAAGCACTTATTCTACTGAGCTAACTCCCCGGCCCAGCCTTTGTTTAGAGAAGGCGTGAGTTCCCTCCCAGCCCACAAGTTCCTTGGGGCGGTGAGGACTTGCCCTACAGGTGTGAGGCTTCATCCAGGCACCAACAGATCAACTGATCAACGGGTGGATCAGTGAGATGCAAATCCACATGGTCAAGGTTCACAACTGTCACAGCAAATGCTGTTCTCAGCCCCTTAAAAAAAACAGCAAGGGGCCAGGAAGATGGCTCAGTGGAATAAGCGCTTCCTTGGCAAGTGCAAGGGCCTGAGTTCAATCCCCAGTTCCGCAAAGTCCAAAGTAAAACATAAAAAACAACAGCAAACTAAACACAGGCCATAACGACCATCACAAAAACCATCATACAAGCCCGAGGAGCTCCCTGCTGTCCGGACACTGAGTGGATGGCATTGTATTGAGTGTGATTCCTCGGGGGAGAAGATGCAGAGAGAGGGGACCGCTGCCCCTTGTCATGGCCTGGAGGTGACAGCTGCCCCTTGTCATGGCCTGGGGTTCCAGTTAGCTGCCTGAACCGAGCCACCTCAGTGCCCAGCTGGGACCCCTAGGTGTGCTGGGTGTCATACAACACCGTCAGTATCCACAAAACTGGTTCCCATTTGGCCCCACCAGGGTTCCCCGAGGCGCCGCAGGCCACAGAAGAGTAATGGCTACTTGTGCTTCTGTTGCCCCTGGTGGTTGCTGTCCAGGCTCGCTTTCCCCACAGCGATAGTGCTGATCTCTGTCTCCGACTTTCAGGCCTCCTGAAGACGCTCAATACTACGATCGAGGAGATGGAGGTTGTCAGCAAGGCGGGGCTTGGCATGCTGAAGTTTGTTGAGGCTGTCATGGGCTACTGTGACGTCTTCAGGGAGATCAAACCCAAAAGAGATAAGGTACCAGCCCGCCAGGGACACCCGGGAGCCAGCACCAACGACTTGAAACCACGTGACTGTTGAGATACGGTTCGCACCTAGACATGTCACAGGCTTAGGGCCACCCAGCTCAGATTTGTCATGAAAGGCACAGGACAGGAGACGTTCAGCCTCCTTCTCTGGGCCTGGAGCAGAGTTGTGAACCTCAGCGTACCTGAAAGTAAAACACCCGCTGTTTCGGACCCCGAGTATATTTTCCCAATGCGAGTGCAGATTTTGCAGTCACAGTAGAAGCTATACTCAGGAGAGAGGCCTTGCTAGGGCTCCCAGTGACCAGGGCATATGCTGGTCACTAGACAATATGGGGCGCTGTGCGCAGTGCCCAGATCGAACCCAATTCACCCTGCCCACTCCTGCCCTCTCCCCTAGGTGGCCAAGCTGGAGCGGAATTTCTACCTAAGCAAACGGGAGCTGGAGAGGATCCAGACAGAGCTGGCTGCCATCCAGAGAGAACTGGAAGCATTGGGGGCCAAGTACGAGGCCGCCATCCTGGAGAAGCAGAAGCTGCAGGAGGAGGCGGAGATCATGGAGAGGCGGCTCATCGCTGCTGACAAACTCATCTCGGGCCTGGGGTCTGAGAACACCAGGTCCGCTGGGCTGTCCCACCCGGGGGCTGGGGCTCAGAGCTCACGGCCCGTCAGGGGACGCCGGCAACGGCATAGCCACACGGATACTTGGTTCTGCGTTGTATTTTTATATAAAAGCCACACACGAGCTGTTTTAGGGTTCCCTAGGGCCACTGCATAGAGCATCGTTAACTAGGCGCTGAGTGTCACTTAGTAAGCGTTAAGGGTTGAAGGTGCCAGCGAGGCTGAGAGGCAGAGAAGCTGTCGCAGCAGCTGCTAGCTCTGGGAGTGCTGGCTTCCTGGCGATCTTAGGCTCCTGGGTTTTGGAGAGGAGCCAGTCTCTGTCACTGTGGGGGTGACTTCTCAGGTGAGGTCCATCCTTATGTGGGTGGGGCTGTTGGATCCCCTACCCACTGCTCATCCAGGTCCTTCAGCCCCTTTCCAATCTGGCATCTGCGTGTGGCGCAGGAAACCCTGGAAGCTTTCCCTGCCCGTGGGAAGCAGCCTGGCGGGCTCTGGGCACTGGCCGGAAGCAGCCCTAGGAAACATCCGCTTTCCTCTGTCCTGGGGCGTGCTGGCATCGACTGGCTGCACCAGGGTTCTCAGCCCTGCTGTGCATTGGGAAACAACCCAATCACGACAGAATACACAAAGCCTCCTGGCATTTACGGGGCCCCTGCACAGGCAGAGTTCTGCTGAGCCCCAGCACTGAACAAAGTAGTTGGAAGCGAAGTGTTGGCCAGGGGGGGGAAATTACAAAGTGAGTTGGGAATCTTTACTTCCTAGAAAGGAAGAACATCTCAGAAAACCTTTGTAGTGTGGTCTGATCTTAAGCTTGAGATCCTCCTACCTCAGCCTCCCGGGTAGCAGGACAACAGGCGTGTGGCAGCTCATTTGGCCTTGTTTAATTTTTAAAAACTTTATGTATGCATATATGTATTTATTGGATATAGAGTCTCACTACACAGTTCAGACTTGTAGTGATCCTCCTATCTCATCCTCCCCAGCGCTGGGATTACAGGCATGTGTCACCATGCCCAATTTCAGGGCTGGCATGGTGCCCCAGGGGTTCTGGGGTCAGCATGGCATGTGGTAGTACTGAGGATTGAACTTGAGTCCTTGTACTTGCCAGGCAGGCGCTTAGACTGCTGACCTATCTTCCCAGCCAGGTCTTGTTTATTTTTTAACTGTCACCCAAGGCTTGCACGTTTGTGGAATGCGGGGCTATTGGTCACTGTCCTCACGCCCCATGCATAATGGGCAGTCAGCATTTCCAGTGTCCAGACCTCGCTTCTGCAGTGGTGACCACAGCCTCTGACACTGGCTCACGCACAGCAAGGCAATGGTACGGGAAGGCTCTCCGGGGCTCTGTGGCCAGGTCATCGAGGTGTCCCCCCTCCTCACGCCCCCCGCCAGGTGGCTGAAGGACCTGGACGAACTGATGCACCGGCGGGTAAAGCTGCTGGGCGACTGTCTGCTGTGCGCCGCCTTCCTGAGCTACGCGGGCGCTTTCACCTGGGAGTTCCGCGATGAGATGTTGAAGCAGGTGTGGCAGAGCAACATGCTGGAGCACGGCATTCCCCTGAGCCAGCCCTTCCGCCTAGAGAGCCTGCTCACAGATGACGTCGAGATCAGCAGGTCGGTTGGCACGGCCAGCGGGTGGGAGGTCGGGCCTGGTGGCAGTGGCAGACCGCTCCATGACAGCCCTGGCTGCCTGCCATCCGTCCCTTCAGGTGGGGCTCCCAGGGCCTGCCACCTGACGAGCTCTCCGTGCAGAACGGCATCCTTACCACCAGGGCCAGCCGCTTCCCGCTCTGCATCGACCCCCAGCAGCAGGCACTGAACTGGGTCAAGAGGAAGGAGGAGCGGAACAACCTGCGGGTAGGCCGACTGGCCCCTCCTGGTCCCTGGGGCTGTTCTGTGACCTGGACTCCCAGGCACAGCTCCTGGGACTGGGGCACCTTGCATCTTCGAGTCCCTCTTCTGGCCCAGTGTGGTGGCCTTGGGGGCAGTCACCGGGCATCTGGAGCTGGGAGGGGGTGGGGCGGCGCTGAGGAGGGCACACTGGACGCACTGGACTGAGACGTTCGCTCACTGTCACTTGCCCCCTGAGAGCAGAGAGCACAGCGGGTTGTATAACAGCGGTCAGAGTCACCCCAAAAGAAATGCCTGGTCCTTTCGTGTCACCCACCAAGCCCTCCCGTGCTGCCCTGCCTAGCCCCCAGAAAGCACCGGGATGTTTTCCAGCTACAATGGGCCAGGCTGGACATTTTCTGGGAATGGGATCTCACGTGTTCTACCCGGCTTTTCCTATGATCTCGTGGCTTGTTTGTGCTGTGTTCTTTTTCTGCAGCTGAGTAACATTCTACTGTCCAGACTTGTGTTTCTTTACAGTGCAGTCAGGTGATGGACATCAGGGTTGTTTACACTTTCTTGGCTGCCTCAAATATCAGTGTGTGTGTGTGTGTGTGTGTGTGTGTGTGTGTGTGTGTTTATTGGGAATCGAACTCAGGACCTTGCATTTGCCAGGCAGCTGCTGTGCCACTAAGCTATATTCCGGGCTCCTTGAAGTTTTTATTTGGATGCGTGCTTAGTTCTCTCGGGCACATGCCCAGGCGCGGGGTGCTGGTCACTGTTCACTGAACCCTTTAACAAGCATGGCTTTCAGCTTTCCCGCTTGCCCGCCTGTGTCCTGGCCCTCGCTTCCTCTGTGGTCCTGTTAGCTGGCTCCCTCCACGTCCTCCACGCGTGCGCCTCCCTGCCTGCCCACAGGCGTGTTAAGGACACAGGTTTCCACCCGCCCCATCCACAGACGGCGTCCTTCAATGACCCCGACTTCCTCAAGCAGCTGGAGATCTCCATCAAGTACGGCACCCCTTTCCTGTTCCACGACGTGGATGAGTACATCGACCCCGTGATCGACAACGTCCTGGAGAAGAACATCCGGAGCACGCAGGGCCGGCAGTTCATCATCCTGGGTGACAAGGAGGTGGACTATGACCCCAACTTCCGGCTGTACCTCAACACCAAGCTGGCCAACCCTAGATACTCACCTGCTGTATTCGGCAAGGCCATGGTCATCAATTACACGGGTGAGAGGATGGGGCCCGGCCGGGGTGCAGCCAAAGCGGCTGGTGGGCAGCAGGCCGGGCCAGGTGAGAGGGCCACGCCGTGTCCCTGCAGTGACTCTCAAGGGCCTGGAGGACCAGCTGCTGAGCGTGCTGGTAGCCTTTGAACGGCGGGAGCTGGAGGAGCAGCGGGAGCACCTCATCCAGGAGACGAGTGAGAACAAGAACCTGCTCAAGGACCTGGAGGATTCCCTGCTGCGGGAGCTGGCCACATCCATGGGCAACATGCTGGACAATGCCGAGCTAGTGCAGACGCTGGAGGACACCAAGTCCAAGGCCACAGAGGTGCGGGCAGGGGGAAGGGTGTGCTGATCTCCAGGGTCCTTGTGGCGCCAAGGGTGGCAGAAAAGCCAACCCTGTCCAGCTAATGCCCCAAGGGAAGCCACCAGCCTACAAAGCAGGAGGGCTGGGGACGGCTGCAGGTGAGGCTGGATCAGGCGCTCCAAGCACATGGTCTGCACTCGGTTTCTGTCATTTCTTCTGGGCCAGGGTGTAGGCTGAGCTGGCTTCAGTCTTTGGGGATAAATGAGAGTCTTTTCTTGTTCCTATCTCGAGTCATAGGCCCACCCCAGGACAATCCCCGAGGCCTGGAAATGCTTAGTGTTGATCGGCAGGGCCTGGGCCCACGTGGAGAGGGAAGGGGGCAGTGAGCGGCGGTCACTAGAGAGGCAGGCAGGGCTCTGAGCAGACAGAACCTGCACTGTCCTGGAGGGTGACTCCCTCGCGCTCCGAGGTCCTCAGGAGGGGGCTTTTCGCCGCCCCCACCCTCTGTCCACTCCCCATTTTAGTTTCCTGGGTGACACGCGCCTTCTTGCAGGTTTCAGAGAAGCTCAAGCTGGCCGAGAGGACGGCACAGGACATCGACCGGCTGCGGGATGGCTACCGGCCGGCAGCCAGGAGGGGTGCCATCCTCTTCTTTGTCCTGTCGGAGATGGCGCTTGTGAACTCCATGTACCAGTACTCACTCATCGCCTTCCTGGAGGTCTTCGGGCTGTCGCTGAAGAAATCACTGCCTGATTCCATCCTCATGAAGCGCCTGCGCAACATTATGGACACGCTGACCTTCAACATCTACAACTATGGCTGCACAGGTGAGCACGGTGCTTCCCACTGCCAGGGCGTGGGCGCGGTGCCAGGGTATGGCGATGGGGCTGTCAGGAGACCATAGCTGGCAGTCGGGCCAAGAGTTGGAGTCGGGTGTGGTGGCACACTCGTGTGACCACAGCACTCTGGGAGGCTGAGGCAGGAACGTCCCACATTCCAAGCCCAGCCTGGGCAACTCAGTGAGACACTGTCTTGAAAGAAAACACAGAAGAGGGCTGGGGACATAGCTCGGCACAAAGGCCCTGAGTTTAATCCCCTGTACCACAAAAAACAAAGAAAGTGAAGATGCAATTCGTGTATCATAAACTCAGTTTTGAAAGAAGGCACTTTGGGGGTGGCCAGGGGGTCTCAGCCTTGGACACCACCCCATTGTCTGGTTGTAGGAAAGCCCATCAGCCTGGAAGTGAATCCCCTCTGTCTTAGCAGCCCCCGTTTCTGCCCCCTCAGCTGCTGACGGCCCTTAATCTGCTTTCTGATTCCACAGATTTGCCTATTTTGGACAAACGGATCAGCCGTATGCGGCTTTTCGTGACTGTCTTTCCTTTTGGCGTGGCTTTCAGGGTCATGACATGTGTCAGCATAGCCGCTGTGGCTGGAGTGGCCACCTTCTTTTTTCCTGGGGTTGCTTCTGCTGTTTGGCTATGAGGATAATGCTGCTAGCGGGATTCATGTGACGCATTTGGCGTGAATGTATGCATGTGTGTGTTGGGTGCTGGAGATGGAACCTGGGGCCTTGTGCTCTGCCACAGCGCTGCAGCCTCAGACCCTCATAAATTTTTATTACAGAAAGTTTCAAACACAGAAGAGAATAGGGCATCGCCCCCCACAACCCACATCCCAGCAGGGACTAGCTCTAGCCTCGTCTACACCAGCGGCACAGTTCTCGGGGCCTGCGATTATTTGGCCATCTGCTTGGTTTTGGAGCCACCTCTCTGTGAATATTAACAGTTGTGTCCCCACAGCATGGCAGCTCCTGGGCTCTGGAAAGGGCCACATAGTTCGTATTTCTGACTTGGGAGGCCCTGTGGCCTGCTTTACCACCTCTCAGCTCTGTCCCAAGCCTTGGTGGAGAAGGTGGCTCTGGGCGCCCCCTCTGGCCCAGGAAGGGGCACAGTGCCCCTGGGAGACAGGGCTGTGTGGGGCGCTGGCAGGGAGGTGGTGTAGGCTGCACTTGGCTGTGACCTGTGGGTCAAGCCCAGCTCCTTTGTACCCAGATGTTCCAGGTTCTGGGTGCGGGGACCCAAGCATGGTCCTGCGTGGCACTTTCATTTCATTTTCCTTTCATTTAAGCACGTCACACATACGAAACTGAGTCTTTAAAATGAACGTTTTCCGATCAGCCAGCCATCCTTGCCCGTCTGTGCGCTCGTCTCTGCCCGCCCCATGCCTCTGCCCACCAGCCCTCCACTGCCATGTGCGTCCTTCCAACCCAGAGTTCCTCCACAGGCTTGTTTGAAAAGCATAAGCTGCTCTTCTCTTTCAACATGACCATCAAGATAGAGCAAGCAGAAGGCAGAGTGCCCCAGGAGGAGCTGGATTTCTTTCTAAAAGGTAATGGCTTTGGCTACCTTCGCTTCCCCAGCTTCCTTGACACCCCCAGCACAGGGGAGGAAGTTTGCTCGTGATAACAAACCCCACTTGCAAAACTTCTTGAAGCCTGGCTCCCAAGGGCGCCCCTTGGTTAGTGCCTCAGCTGCCGCCTCTGGCCTCAGCAGTGGTTCCGGTCAGACCTGGAGTGACCCGCTTGTGCCTAAGGATTGCTGTGAGGCCTGAAGTTGTGCAGAGCTGCCTGGTGGGGTCCCTAGTGGTGACAGGGACCTTGCCAGTCCCCACCTTGGGAAGTGGCCTTTTCCCGAAGTGAGAGAAGTCAAAGTGCAGAGCCACTTGCCTGGTGTTATGGCATGATGGCCGCTCACTCCTCCTCCTCCTCCTCCGTGGTTAGGAAACATTTCCCTGGAGAAGAGCAAACGCAGGAAGCCCTGCATGTGGCTGTCTGACCAGGGCTGGGAGGATGTCATTCTCCTCTCAGAGATGTTTCCAGACAACTTTGGGCACCTTCCTGATGATGTTGAGAATCAGCCTCTTGTCTGGCAGGAGGTAAGCTCAGGGTTTTTCTCTTCTTTCCTTCCAACAGTGATCTCCAGACTTAGCCCCATGGCCAGTGCCTTGTGAAAGAGAAGCTATTCCGTGAATAAACCATTCAGAGTGTAATTGATACCCTCTAATTAGCTGTGTGGGTGAACCACCCATCCATAGTCCATCCATCCGTCTATCCATCCAGTCCCCCATTAGCCATTTTTCATTCATCCATCCTGACATTCATGATGCTATTCATCATCTATCCATCCACCATCCATTATTCACCATCTATGCATCCATTCATTCAACTCTCTGTTGCCTGTTATTCATCTGTCATTCATCTATCCATCCTTCCATCATCTATTCTTCTATCCATCTATCATTTATTACCCATCCATCATCTCATGCATCCAACCATCATCCCATCCATCCATCCATCCATCATCCTATGCATGTATGCATACATCCACCATCACATGCATCCATCTAACCATCATCCCATCCATCCATCATCCCACGAATTCATCCATCATCCCATGTATCCATCTACCATCCCATCCATCTATCATCCCATGAATGTATCCATAATCCATCCATCATCCTATGCATCAATTATCATATTATGCATCCATCCCTCTATCCATCCATAATCCCATGCATCCATCAATCCATCCATCCATCATCCTATGCATGCATCTGTCCATGCATCATCCCATCCCATCCATTCATCCAACCATCCATCATCCCATCCATCCATCATCCCATCATCCATCCATCCATCCATCCATCATCCCACCCATCCATCCATCATCCCACCTATCCATCCATCATCCCATCCATCCATCCATCCATCCATCCATCCATCCATCCATCAACCCATCCATCCATCCCATCAAACTACCATCCATTCAAGGAGTAGTTACTGAGCACCTACCAGATACTATGACCCTACCTAGGCACTAGTGACTCCACAGTGAAAGAGATTTAGTTCCTCACTTTCTGAAGCTCATAGTTCTGGTGTAGAAAATGACCACCCAACATAAGAGGTGGCTTTGAATTCATACATCTCTAGATTCTCATCCCCTCCCAGTGGACTTTGACACTGTCACACGTAGTCATTGACTATGTCATTTCTGAGTTGATGGCACAGTGATGTTTTCTGCTTTCTCCAGTGGTATGACCTGGATTCACTGGAGCAGTTTCCGTTCCCCTTGGGGTATGATAAAAACATCACCCCTTTCCAGAAGTTGCTTATTTTGCGCTGTTTCCGTGTGGATCGAGTCTATCGGGCGGTGACTGACTACGTGACCATAACCATGGGCGAGAAGTAAGTGCTGATTTGTTTCTCTGGCTCCCCTGCGCTGGGATGTCTAATGCTATCCCCGCCTGAGCACAGAGAAGCAGGGATGGCAGCCCCTGAGAAAGCGAGCCCAGCACGCGTGCACTCTGGCCCAGGGCTGCTCCAGACACCTTCCCTGTAGTGTGCACAGGTCACAGCAGATTTCCAGTCACAGTAGGACAGAGGCAGAAGTCAACTGTAAGAACATAGCTTTTTATCCATTTTAAATTCTAATTATACATTTTTTTTTAAACCACTGAATAGTGAGAGTCAATTTCTTTTTTTTTTTTTTGCGGAACTGGGGATTGAACTCAGGCCTTTGCGCTTGCCAGGAAAGCACTTATTCCACTAAGCCATCTTCCCAGCCCCCATAGCTTTTTATCTATATATTTGAAGATATTATTTCAGGTAACCCATGAAAACATTATTGAGATATTTTATAGATTGTGGTGGTTGTTGTTTAGTCTTTCAAGCCCTGTATAAATTCACACCCAGAGCACATGTCCGGTGGAACCAGGTCTTGGTGGCCGCCATATTGGATGCACCACTCTGGCTGAGTGTGTGAAGCCAGACAGGTGCCTGAGGGTATGGGCCCCAATGAGCCTTGGTGGCTGGCACGTTATAGAAATGACAGCTCCTCCACCTCCTCTCGCTTTAAAAGAAGCTGGAGATTCAGGTTCTTAGCACTGGATCTCCTGACCTTTGTGGCTGGCAGCTCACTTGGTCTTTTCTGTTTTTGTTAGGACAAAATGCCTACTGCTGGGCAACACAGAAAAAAAATGGCTTTAGTTAGCTCACAGTTCTGGCGGCTGGAAGTCCAAATAGCGTGGCACCAGTGTCTGGCCAGGGTTCCCTGGATGTATCACAACATGCAGAGGTAGAGAGGGAAATGACCACGTGCAAAAGAGCCCGCAGAGATGGGATGCCTTGCTTACAATGACCTGATCCTGTGAGAACCAACCTGGTGCTGAGAGAGCGACCTTACTCACCTCCAGAGTGACGCCTGGCCACTTCCCACTGGGCTCCACCCCCTACGGGTCTTCTCTGCTCAACACGAGTACCGAGGGCCCAGGGCTCCTGCTCATGAACTATGGGGGACGAGCTGTATCAGAACGGCAGCAGCAGTGGCTTAGGGAAAGCGCAAGCCAGAAAGCCCCTCATGACATGGCCACTCAGGACCAGCCTCTGGGCCTTATGTTTGAGCCACGCTCACCTGCAGGTGCAAACCTTCCCAGTGTGCATGTGTCACATGCACTGGAGGGAGCCAGAGGCCTCCTGTCACCTGTGACTGGACGGACCATGCCTCATGTACACGGAGGAGCAGGAGATTCTGGATGTTTCTAGGGGGACAGCCCTGATCACTACCTGGCGTTATCCTCCTGGAGAGTGACTTCACTCTGTCCCTGCCCCCAGGTATGTGCAGCCCCCGATGATCAGCTTTGAAAGCATTTTCGAGCAGAGCACCCCGAACTCACCCATCGTGTTTATCCTGAGTCCCGGCTCCGACCCGGCCAGCGACCTCATGAAACTTGCCGAGCGGAGTGGCTTTGGAGGAAACCGCCTCAAATTCCTTGCCATGGGTCAAGGTCAAGAAAGGGTAATTTGCCATTGGACAGGACAAAGGCTGCATGCTGGTGGGGTCCCCACCTCTGGAGGATGCATCCCCTGGGCGGGAGCTCAGAGCACTGTGCCTCGGAGAAGTGGGCGTGCTTCCAGTCCTGGGGGTGATGGGGTTCCAACTCTTGGAGGTGCTACAGGTGCGAAGCTCAGTCACGTCCCTGGCTTTGCAGACAGGTGGCCTGCGGGGCACCTGCAGGATGGCTTTCCTGAGGGTGGTTGACTGGCTCCTTGGGGCTGCTTCTGGACCAGGCTGTTACCTGTCTGTCCCCTTGATGCAGGTGGCCCTGCAGCTGCTGGAGACAGCAGTGGCCCGTGGGCAGTGGCTCATGCTGCAGAACTGTCACCTCCTGGTGAGGTGGCTGAAGGACCTGGAGAAGTCCCTGGTGAAGATCACCAAGCCCCATCCCGACTTTCGCCTGTGGCTTACCACGGACCCCACCAAGGGCTTCCCCATTGGGATCCTGCAGAAGTCCCTGAAGGTCTGGAGTGGCCCACGGGGTCTCGAGGCAGGCTTCCCTGCATGCACATTTACTGCTTGTCCCACTTCCTTGGGGACAGAGCCACCTAGACTCCAGTGTGTATTCATTCCTAGAAAGCTGTTCTGGGAAGGTTTTGTGGCCTCCCTTTCTCTAAACCAGGTGTGAGAGAGAGCCAGGGACTTTCTTAGGACAGCTGAGGACCTGAGGTTCAGAGGGAGGTCAGAAGACCTTGTCAGGACCAGGTGGCAGGGGCTGGTGGCCATGCCAGGACAGAGCTGGTCCTGTAACTTGTCTGCCTGTTCGCTCAGCCGGGGCCTCAGCACTGGGAAGCAGGCAGACCCAAGAGATGCGGCTTCCAAGGCCCTTCCTGCCTGGCCCTGACCCAAGCCATGGTGGGGCTCTGCTCATCTGCTGCAGGTTGTCACGGAGCCGCCCAATGGGCTCAAGCTGAACATGCGCGCCACGTACTTCAAGATCTCCCCTGAGATGCTGGAGCAGTGCCCGCACCCCGCCTTCAAGCCTCTGGTCTACGTGCTGGCCTTTTTCCATGCTGTAGTGCAAGAGAGGAGGAAGTTCGGCAAGATTGGCTGGAATGTTTACTACGACTTCAATGAGTCTGACTTCCAGGTGCAGTATGACCAGTGCCACCCTGGGAAGCCAGCCCTGTCCAGCACGCTGCAGCACGCAGTTCCTTTCTGTTTGTTTGTTTTGTGGTACTGAGGCTTGAACTCAGGGCCTCTGCACTGAGAAACATATACCCTCAGCCCTTTTTAAATTAAAAAATTTGGTGGTGGAGATCAGGGTCTTGCTAAGTTGCCCAGGCTGAGTTTGAAATAGTGATCCTCCTGCCTCAGCCTCCTATAGTGCTGGGTCACAGGCGTGGGCCTCCACACCAGCTTCTGCCCACTGTTCAGGTGAGACAGCTGTGAAGTGTAGCCCCTTCTGTTCCTTTCCGAAGGTCTGCATGGAGATTCTGAGCACATACTTAACGAAAGCTTTCCAGCAACGTGACCCTCGGATCCCCTGGGGCAGCCTCAAGTACCTGATCGGAGAGGTAGGCAAGGCCTGGTAACACTCTCTGCTCGGTGTGGGCTCTTGTCCGTGCTGCAAGAGCTCCTGCTCCCATGCCGCTGGCATCCACTCTTTCCTCCGGTGCTTCGGGGGCGGGGGCCAGGTGGGTCCACACATGGTAGGGATGTGGCCTGCTGGCTTTGGTTTCTGCCATGTGACCCGGCTGGGAGTCTGCCATCATGCCCTGGCCCCCACACTGCTAAGGGAAGCTTCTTGCTGTGGGCCTGTCCTCAGGAAGCCTGCGAGCCATGCACAGTGCCATGGATGAGCCCACTCGGCACGGGCTCAGGTGCTTACTCCCAGCGATGCTCAGGAGCCGCACATGGCTGGCCACCGCGTCTCACCAGGGTCAAGTCGGCCCTGACCTGGGTGGGCCTGGGTGATGACACCCTGGTGCTTGAGAGGTCCTGGGTCCCCAGCTGTCCCTCATCCACTCTGACCGTAGGTCATGTATGGAGGCCGCGCCATTGACAGCTTCGACCGCCGCATCCTGACCACCTACATGGACGAGTACCTGGGAGACTTCCTTTTTGATACCTTCCAGCCGTTCCACTTCTTCCAGAACAAGGAGGTAGACTACAGAATCCCTGCCGGGGACGTCAAGGACAAATTTGTCGGTGAGAACAGACGTCTCGCCACATTCCCTGCAGTCGCCGGCTTCTGAGCCCTCTCTTGGGCAGGAGCGGGCCTTGGCTATTCAGGCAGGATCTGTTTGTCAGTTCTTAGGCTTGGGTATTACTTGCAGTCCCCATCTCAGAAGGCTGCCGCCTACGTGTTTAGAACTGGGCTGAGCTTGGCTGTGTAGAATTTTAGTTAAAAGCACATCACCCAAGCGCTGAGGAGATAGCTCAGTGGAACAAGTGCTTGCCTGGCAAGCCCCAGGTCCTGAGTTTGGTCCCTGGCACCACCAAAAAATAAAAAATAAAAGCACATCATCCACTCAGTGGTGGAAAATGGTCCATAGGGGGAGATTAGGCCTTGGGGGCTGTGGGCCTCAGGAGCCCAGGGCAGCTGGTGATCAATCCTGTTTGTCCCCTGTGGCTCCAGAAGCCATTGAGGCCCTCCCGCTGGCCAACACACCCGAGGTGTTCGGCCTCCACTCCAACGCTGAGATTGGCTACTACACGCAGGCGGCCCGGGACGTGTGGGCCCACCTGCTGGAGCTGCAGCCACAGACCGGTGAGCTGTGGGCTCGGTGGGGAGGGGTCCGCACAGCTGTGGGCTCGGTGGGGAGGGGTCGGCACAGCTGTGGGCTCGGTGGGGAGGGGTCCGCACAG